TCATGTGAGATGGCAAAGGGGACTCTGCAGGTGGGATTGAGGTTAGGGACCTTAAGATAGGGAGATTATCCGGCACACGCACAGCATGGAATACTGCTCGATAACAAAAAGGAAGGCAGTCCTGATACACTCGAGGGCTTGGAGGCATCGCCCCGGTGTTGCTCTGAGTAAGAGAAACACACCTCCAAAGGCTCCGTGCTGCACTGTCGCTCCTGTAGAACATTCTCAGGATGACGAAGATGGAGAAGAGTCCTGGTGCCCGGGGTGAGGCGTGGCGGCGAGGTGGGGGTCTACCCAGGGTAGCTGGAGGGAGCTCTCTGTGGGGAGAGAAATGCCCTGTATCTTGACTGGGGGTTACACAAATCCACACAAGAGATACCATGACTCAGAAGTCTACACGCACTGTCCCCGTGTCACTGTCCTGGTTTTGATACTATATTATAGTTACGTAAGATAACCTTTGGAGGAAGCTGGGTGACAGTTACAAGGGACCTCTCTGTACTACTTTTGCAAATTTCTATGAATCTACAATTATTTTAAAAATAATAATAAGATAGAAAAAAAAATCTTCCTAGGGCACATCCAAGCCCCAAGGGACTCCCCTGTATCACTCCACCTCCACCTTGGTCCTGGCCTCACTAGGCTTCACTTAGTTCCTCTGATGAGTTGGGCCTTCTGCCCACCCCAGGGCCTTTGCACAGTTCCCTAAGCTCTGAAAGCTCTCTCCCAACCCGTTCAGACGTCAGGTTTCAGGGTTAAACGTTATTTCCTTGATCCCCACCCACACCCCTGCTCCAGACAAGGTTGTCTCTTTGTAATTCTCAAAGCTCCCTGCGGTTCTCCTGTATTAACTTCTTCAGAACTTTCTACTTGTTTTTTGGTACAGTGGTTACCAATCCGGACTCTGGAGCAGGACTTCCTGTTTCAAGTCTTAGCTCTGTCTTAGACAGGTAACTTAACCTCTTTCTATCTGTTTCCTTGAAAGTCCCCAGTGAATCACATCTGCTGGTATAATCCTCTCCCCTTATATCTGAACTGGCCCTGTGAGTTGCTTTCACCAAGAGAACATGGTGGAAGTGAGTCCGTGCCAGTTCCAAGGCTACACCTTAAGAAGGACTGGCAGCGTCCACCGCTGTGCTCTTGGGAACCCTGAGCAGCCGTGTAGGCAACAAGTCTGCTTCCCTGCTGAAGCGAGCATGTGGAGGGGCCAGGCCCTGAGAGCATGTGGAGAGACAAACCCGACAGGCCCAGGCTCTGGCTGACTCGCCAGGTGAACACAAGCACCCATGTGGCCACTGGCGAGACTAGCAGAACCACCACGCAGCTGAACCCAAGCCAGACTGCACAACTGTGAGCAAACAACTCGGTTCTTTCAGCTAATGGGCTTCACGGTCCTTTGCTGTACAGTGATAACCAAAACAACTGGGCTGATTATTATTTTTTATCTTTAAATGCATCATACTAACGGTATGATTCTTTTTATTTATTTGTTTGTTTATGGCTGCCTTGGGGCTTCATTGATGCGCACGGGCTTTCTCTAGTTGCAGCGAGCAGGGGCTACACTTCATTGCGGTCCGCGGGCTTCTCATTATGGTGGCTTCTCTTGTTGCGGAGCACGGGCTCTAGGCACGTGGGCTCAGTAGTTGTGGCGCACGGGCTTAGCTGCTCCGCGGCATGTGGGATCTTCCCGGACCAGGGCTCGAACCCTTGTCCCCTGCATTGGCAGGCGGATTCTTTCTTTTTTTTTTGCGGTACGCGGGCCTCTCACTGTTGTGGCCTCTCCTGCCGCAGAGCACAGGCCCCAGATGCACAGGCTCAGCGGCCATGGCCCACAGGCCCAGCCGCTCCGCGGCATGTGGGATCTTCCCAGACCGGGGTACGAACCCGTGTCCCCTGCATCGGCAGGCGGACTCTCAACCACTGCACCACCAGAGAAGCCCGGCAGGCGGATTCTTAACCACTGCGTCACCAGGGGAGTCCCGGGGCCGATTATTATACTAACATTTTAGGGTTCTTGCGTTAAATAAAATTAATAATTGCAAAGTGCTTATAGTAGTGCCAGCATAAAGTGTTGCAGTCTTAGTTGTGATTTTATTAAATGTCTTCTCCATCAGGCTGAGTTCCCTGAGTGCTATTTTCCTCACCACTGTATGCCCAGTTTCTGTCACCAAGTAGTCTCTCAAACACTCGTTTAAAGAATAAGCACACACCCCAAATCATCAAGACTCACAGCTGCACCAAAGGGTCTACTTCTGAAGCAGCACAAATGACTGGCAGAGTCAGTGAGGGAACATCCTTTGACAAGATCCACCATTCTCAGAAGTCTGTTTGGTTTTCATTAAAAATTTTTCCCCTTCTACTGGAAATGCATCATAAATATTTCTTGTTACCGAAGACATTTCAAAAAATAACTTCGATCATGTTTTAGCTAACCACACCTCTACTGTTGGACATCTCAGGGCCTCCTAATTTTTTCCACGATATAAGTAACGCTGCAGAAAACATCACTGCACACCCATCTTTGTGCACATCTTATTATATCTTTACGATAAATCTCTGGAAGTGGAAATTGCAGGGTTGGAGGGTCTGCAACGTTTTCGAGGCATTTGACAGATAACGTCAAGTCGTTTTCCAGAAAGGTACCAATTCACACGTCTCAGCAGCCCCGAATTACGGCTGCCCATCTCATGTCCCGCGCTGGGACCGTAACTGAGGATTTCTGTCACCTTTGCTAATTGGATGATGGCAGAAAAAACGTATTATGTTTGTTACTGAACCATGAACCACGTCAAAGATGAAGACGTGTACACACATACACACACACACACACACGCGCGCGCGCGCGACCCAGCCTGCACCAGGGCGAAATCTGTCTTTTCTCAAACGATGGAAATAAAGCATCCAAATGGCCTGTGGACTGAGACGCCCCCCCACCCCGTGTTTCCATGCATTCGGGGCACGAAGGGACCCCACTCAACACCTTGATCTTGTGACCAGGGACTCCGACCCCGGCATGACCGGGGCAAGCGGCCACCTGGCCCTGTGTGGGCTGCACCGGTGTCCACGGCCCCGTCGCGACCCGCCGCGTTTGACACAAAACTTCCCCTAACGAAGCGGGCTGAGCAGAGCCGGCTCCCAAACGCGGCACCACGAGACGCCGAACCCCGAATTCTGCCTTCGACCCAACAGACACTCTGGGTCCGGACGGAAGGGTCACACTAGCATGTGCGGCCGTCTGTGGGGTCGCCACTTCACACACCTGAACCCCACACTGTGTCTTCACACCGACCCCCGCACTGACGCGGCCGGCGGGATACCTGCTTCCCGGGTCACCGCCCACACAAGTGGGTCATGTGCGAAACGCACGACCACCCCTCTGGTGGGCGCGGGTCGGAACCGCCACGACGCCTCACCTCAGGCGCCTCAGGGCATGGAAGGTTCTGGAAGGCTCTCGAGGCTTTCCTCAGGGCCTCGGCGGGGAGGGGCCTCGACAACCAAGCGGGCCTGACAGGCGCAGGCAGGAGGCGGCGGGCGCACGGGCCGGAAGATGGAGGTCGCCGCCGTCGCCGCCCACCTCAAGCCCGCACACCCGCCCGCGCCCTTCAGT